TATCAGTCCACCCCATTATCTTGTCAAAGCCCTAATCCAATAGCGAGCCCCGCCCCGGCGTACTACCTCTGCTGAGAGGGGAGCGTGACTGCTGCACTAAGTAACCCAAAAGGCATTCGCGCGCTTCTTCAACCCACCCCCCAATCCTGCTCTCCTGCAATTACAGGCAGCCAAACGCGAGAAAGAGACAAACACACACACATTCACAAACTCCTCACCAACATCTGCTGCTCCTCGAGCGTACGGCGGCGTCCTATACGGGCCGACACCCCCGACTGCGCGCGCTTCCGTGCCGTGAGGGGGGAGGAGCGGAAGGGTGCGGGGGGAGCCCGCCGAAAAGAGATTTGGTCCTAATGCAGTTCAATTATCGACCCCATCATGATTTGTCGAAGCGCGCACGAGGCGAAGCGGAGGAACACCCCCAACCCCCCAACCCCCCAGAGCAGAACCGAGCAGAGCGACACGGAGGCGCATCCCGAAGGAACCAGGAGAATGATACGAGCCGGGGGCGGCACGGGGGTGGCGCGGGGGCGGTGCTCGCTGACGCCCGTCACGCCGCCCCGCGCCCCGCCGCGCCCCGCCCTCCTCGAGTGAGATGTTGACTCGGCGTAATCGCCGGGCTCTGGCGGCCGGCCGGGCCCCGAGGCTGTGTGGCCGGGGCGGCCGGGGGAGGCGCGGGCGCAACATTTTTCATGAGCTTTCCACACCTCCGCTGTGCGCGCACCCACCCACAGCCCGCCGGGCGCAGGGCCCGCAGGGCACGGCCGCAGCCCGCCCGCCCCACCTGCCCGGCACGGCCCAGCACGGCCCGACCGATTGTTTACTCTGCACAACGGTTTTAATTACGGCCAGCCCGGCCCAGCCCCGGGAGGAGGGGCTGTAACTCATCTCCAGCAGCGCCCGGGGGCGCGCTCGGGCCGGGCCCTCCGCTCGGACCAGGGGGGGCACGGGGGGCACCACCGGACCGGGCACCCGCACGGCATGGACTCGGGTCAACGCGACAATCGCACACAAGCATGACATTGGCGGTCAGTCTTAGACAATAGAAACTCTAAACACGCCAGAGTATTTGTACTAGGTGGCTGATTAACCCCGCGCACTTCTGTAGTTAGCCTGTACCGCACGCACGAGTGCGGGCGGGTTGCCTACTCGCCCGGCCCGTAAGGCGCAGTGGAAAGGGGCCATGGCGCCTTAGAGGTGGAGGGAGTAGGCTAACCCGCCGTACCCCGGTGCGCCGGTGGGTGCAAAGAAACGCCGGTGTATAATCTAAG